AAGTTCTTCTTTATTCCACCACCAAAACTATGTCACTCAGGACAGCTTCTTTCCTTCCCAGGAAGGTGACTGCCAGGAAAGATGCCACATAAGCCTGTATGTCATTTTTAAAGTGTCTAGAAAACTGAGATCTAAATTGCAACGCCAAAAAAAGGGTGTCAACGAAAGGAATATTTTAGTAGTAACCAGTTTACTGAGGCTTCTATTTACTTTATGAGCTTACAAACAACTGTGAACATTAAATATTTATTTAGCTAATAAGCAACAGGGTCACTATGAAAAATTAGGGGGAATGTACCTGAGGTATCTTCTGGCATGTTCATTTTTGTGGCCAACCATGAGATAGTAGCATCCTACTGCAAACCATGACACCTACACATTAAAATCAAAATACAGTATCAGTAGATATATCAAACTAATTTTAGCAAAACATCACCACAGGTGACACAAAACAAAGGAACAGATTAGAATGAGACAAGTTAGGAACATTTTCACTGAGATCACAGTCAGCTTTTATCTGACATTACAGGCAAGCTAGAACTGCTGGCATGCATGTCTCTAACTGGGCTTGCTCAGCCTCATGAAGAGAGGGCCAAGTGAAAAGCTTGTTACTATCCAATTAGCTAATGGCAGGGAATGAGGAAGAGAGCAGCAGACTCTTCTCAGAGGTGCAGTGATGGGATGGGGGCAATGGGTACAGGCTGCAACGTGGGAAATTCAGACTGAGTAAAGGAAATGTTCATTATGAAGGTGACCAAACATTGGAAAAGGTTGCCCAGAGAGGCACAGACATTTTTTTACAGAGCATTTATTTTAAATTATTGTTCAAAATGAATACCTCACACTGAACATATTCTATAGGAACTTTGTTTTAAAAATAAAAGCAGCTTGGTATATTAAAATTACAATGTATAACAAATGAAAGGAGAGAACCATATTTACTAGCTGCATCCAGAAACAAACTTTGAATTCTGTTGCTCATACTGACTATTACAACTTCTATGTGCTTTCATCCAAAAAAAAACCCCTGCCTGGTAAGGAAGGGTTAGAACTTACAGGATTATTTGGGTACAAGTCCACCAGTTTGTGAGAAAGATAGAAAAGCTCTACATAATGGAAAGAAAAAAGAAAAGAAAATTAAAATGTGTAAAACATTAAATTAATTAAAACATTAAGATGTTTCAAGCCCTTTAGCTTTCCATACAAAATATCCAGAATTTCTAACATTGTTAATGCTTAGTAAACAAGTATTATCTTTAGTGGTAAAGCTTCAAACTTCCTCAGAATAGATTTGGTTCTGCAGTTAACTGAAAAAAACACCCCAAACCATACCAACAAAACCCCCAAAGCCCCTAAAGTCTTCACAGCACATAAATAAGCAGCTGTACATCCCACCCTGTAAAAATGTGGCCACAACCTAGGCAAACATCTTTGGCAACAATCCTTTTTTTCAAGTTTTCCTTGAAACTGCAGGTAGGAGGGAAAATATATACCATTTTTAAAAAATTACATATAAGGAGGTTTCTTGGGATCCTTTATTCTTTTTTAAAATTGAAGCTTTGCAATTTTCTTTTGACTTGTATTAAGTGTTGTGTGTCTTACCATTTGCTTTATTAAGCTCCACAAGTGTCCCTATGTGCACAGGTAAACAATTTGCATGGAAAGGATCCTTTTCCATCACTCTAAAAAAATAAAATAAAATAAGGCTGCAATGCACATTTCAAAAATTTTAATGTGTTATAAGTAAGCTGCTTTCACAGTGTATGTTTCAGTTAACCACCATTTAGGCACTGGAAAACTCTTTCTGACTGGGAGGTAATGAGTAACAATGTAATAAAGGCTGTCTTAAGACCAGAAAAATAACTGTTAATTTAGCTTAACAGAGAGGCTAACAGAAAAGTCTTGCAAGCTGAGTATGCAATTAGTAAAACAATACAATGCACCAGTGTTTGCAAGTCACTTCAAAAACACTGCTGTTCATCTTCCCCAGATGTTTTGACAGCAACTTTCAAGCAATAGTCCTCAGCTTTCTGAGCTTAACATTAAGCAGCACACCTCAGGAAACGTGTAGCTCAGTTTTACATTTTTATTTCCTGTGGCATTTAGAAATGGAAGGTAGTCTCACAGACAACAGGCTGCATGCAGGACGTGGCTTGTAGGCACGTGTCCTTTTTGTAGGTATTGGCATACTAAGAGAAAAAAAAAAAGATGTCTTGAAATCTATTCACATTTATCTATTAAATCAGAAGTATAACATTATAACTCCATTCTTGGAGAGGTACACCTTGAAATAGTTAAAAAAATTAGTTAATATTTTAAAATAGTTCAAAATGTTTCAAATTAAAAATATAAAAGAACATATAAATAAGTTTATTTAATGGACTCTTGAAGAGAGTCTAAAGCTTTGAAGCTCCATGGGCTTCTCAGACTCTCACTCCCAAGCTGCAGCACCCGTGACAGCCTCCTCCTCAGGAGACATCTACTCCTGCCACTTCCTACTAGACAAGACACGGCCATTAAGTTTCAGAAACAAAGATGCAATAATGTAATTTTATTGATTTAATTGGAGTACTTTAATTCATCAGGATGACATGTTTAAATTCAGCCTGTCAGCATTCTCAACAGCCTTCCCATTGGATGTTCTACATAGTGATGTCTTGCTTCACCTTAGACAAAGCTGAACTATATAAAAAACAATTCAGCCTAACTGTCAGCATTCTCAACAGCCTTCCCAAAAATCTTGCCTGTACTTGGCTCCATGGGATGTTCTACATAGTGATGTCTTGCTTCACCTTAGACAAAGCTGAACTATATAAAAAAAACCAAAACAAACCCCAAACCAAAAATAAACCCAACAAAACCTCAAACTAAAACCCTTTCTAGTTTATAGTACTGATATTCAGCCTCTGCAGTACACACACAGAAGCACAGTTCTCTTTAAAAGGCAGCTGTGGCACTGTGTTTTGTGCTGGCCTCCACGTGCATTGTTCTGACCCACCTGACCAGCGAGCAGCAGTGTGCACCCAGGCTATGTGCCCACTGAGATCTGACACAACACAATCAGCCAGAGAAATCATACTTCCCCGCTGACCAACTGGCCCAAACCTGCTGCTTTGAAGCCCAAGCAATAAGCAGGTAGAGAACACACAAAATGAAGGTACCAGCGTGAGGGAGAGGCTGGATGAAGGGAAGTCAGCACAGTGCTCATTAACTGGAGTTTTGCTTTGGATACTTCTGCTACATACCATAAAAATAACACAAACTACACATTTTAAGTACCTGAAACTTGGTCTCAGACTGTCAGGTATGTCAGTGCACAGTGATACTCGCTGTAAGGCCAGGCATAATTTTAATATTACACCACAAAATAGAAAACCTGCAAAGTTCCTTTGTATACTTACACCGAAGTAAGCTTGTAACACATTTTGAAATCACAGTTGTAATAGTGTCTTTCAGCTAAGGATACTACTACATCCAGGTTCTCCTGGAGACCATCTCTGTGAGGTATGTCAGTGCACAATGATACTCGCTGTAAGGCCAGGCATAATTTTAATATTACACCACAAAATAGAAAACCTGCAAAGTTCCTTTGTATACTTACACCGAAGTAAGCTTGTAACACATTTTGAAATCACAGTTGTAATAGTGTCTTTCAGCTAAGGATACTACTACATCCAGGTTCTCCTGGAGACCATCTACTGATTCAGGTATCAGTGTTTCACTGGGTTTATTGTACTGAAAGGCAAAAGGAACAACATGTGAAACAACCACCAATCTAAAAATGTTTTTGGTAAAATATTTCTTTATCATGTACTTTAAAACTTATTTATTTCTAGTGTCAGTATCTTCAGCAGCAGCTTTAGAAATGAATAGTGAGCAGTACAGATGTGGCCTCCAGTGCTCTCACACTGTCTTTGGGAAAACTAATCTGGTATAAAAAAAAAAAATGTGGCTATATCCTAGTATTGTCAGGTAACTGACGTTCTGTCTACATGACTAATGTTCTTTCCCCCACCTTGAATTTTATCAAGAACTCAAGTTAAAACCAAACAAAATCAGAATTTCAAGTGGTCACCACACCAAAAAACAAGTTTACACAAAACTGCTGTACTAGTCCCATAAAGTGGTATCTACTGCACTATAAAATTTAAAATAACTGCAACTACTAAGACCTTATTTATTCCAATCTTCAGAATAAATGGAATCCAATAAAATTTACATCTAAAGTCAAGACTTTCAATCAATTCTCCAGGTTTTTAGTCAGTTTGGGGCTTTACCTTTTTCAATTTATTTTCAAACAAGAAGTGAAGCAATTCTTGCTCTTCTTCTGTACATTGTCTACTAAGAGGTAGAGATTCAAGAAGTTCTTTTTCTATGCAAATTAAAAAAAAAAAAATTGACATGGTCACATTATGGAAGAAATAGCAACATTTTAAGAACTTAAGAGATGCAAAGAAATTTATGATGCTTATCCTGAAACTACAAGGAAGATAACAGCAGAGATACAATAAACCAGATAATAGTACTAATTATGAAAATCAATAGTTGAAGACTTAAGTTTTCCCTTCTACACTTGTAAATAAAAGGTAATAAAGGATGGCATAATACATCACTATTTTTATTTACATGCCAAATAAACATTGTGTAGGCTGGGCAAAGAACATGGGAGCTTCTGGAGCTAACACACAGGACAGCTGGGTTAGCTTGGTTCTTTTAATTCTTAGCACTGCAAGACTGAAAAGCACACTTTAAACGTAAATTTCAGCAGATTAGAATTTTCACTCATTTAATACATTTTCCCTTCTTAACATTTTCAAGGCTGTTAGTTGTAGTATTGCCTTCATTTTTATCCAGGAAAAAGGCTTCCTGAGAAAGCAGCTAAACTTTACTTGTAACTGAGAAATACTGCTGTGCAGACCTTCCTGTGCCGTCAGCATGTGGTGCGACGTTAGAAGATCAAATGCTTCAAAGCAGTAAACATCAAGCTTCAAGGCCTCCTTGTAGCTGTGTGTTGCCAGGGTTCTGTTGTCCAAAGCATCATAGATCTTCCCTCGCAAAAGGCAGATAGAGCTCTTGATCTGGTGGAAAAGCAGGGCTGGAGGTCAAAGACTGAATCAATGTTTGCAATTTGGTTTTGAGCACAATCAAATGGGCTCCCTGAAAAGTAAAAAGCATTTCATGTAGGACAGAACCTGGTTTCCTAGTGCTGTCTTTGAGTTAAAATAAAATCTCTACTACCTTAAAAAAAAATCAGATGAAGGCTCTGTCAGGTCATCTACTGCCCACCACAGACATGTTTGGAAACAGGAGGAGGACAGAGCTCATCTTTTCTACTGGCATCCAGCTCTCTGATACTGAGTTGAAGGCTAATTGCACTAAACTCCCTTCACACTCAATCTAGGGAAACTGTTACTTCCAAATTCACTTCTTTGTTGACTATTAAATCACATATTTCATGCAAAACAAGAATGACTGCAGCAGAGATGAAAAAGGCCAAATAATGGACTCAACTCATTTGAGCAGAAAAAAATAGATCTGTCTTTTCAATCCAAACCATAGATTTTTCTGAAATGAAAGTAGTGAAACATCATATTACCATAGTTAAAGTTGTCCTAAGGTGTCTAGTAACTAACGTGTTCCTTCAGAACTCCCCCAGATGGATGTTCAATTCAGTCAGAAGGCCACAGAAGTGTCAGGAAGTTACTTGGAGAATGTTAACACATTATATCATCAGATTTACCAGACAGACCAACTCTTTCTGGAGTCCACACGCTACAAACAGGAGCACCAACACCAGCACTCCACATCCGTTCCCAGTGATGATTAAACCCATTTTGCTATGTCAGTCTCACAGGGAAAATGTCATCTGTCAATCACCTTCACTGTAGTTTTAGCTAATAAACTTCCTAACTCCGAGAGTAAGGACTCTTCAGCCTCCATGTGGTACTGACCCCTTTTAACTGCTGCCTATACAGAACTTTTTCACTGAGCTTCAAAAACTTCACCTTCATGTCACAATTTTCAAGTATGATCAAACATATGTCCCACTGAAAACACTGCTTGAGTGACTAAGGAAATATTAAAAATAACTGGAGGAGAGGAAAAGTTGCTTTTTTACCTCAGAACCTGCAGCCTGATTGAAAGAAAGGTTAGTTTACATTATCAAGAGTGAAACTGCAGCACAGAGCTAGATGACTGTAAAACCAATGCTAAATCATGAACTTCTTGCAAAGTGTCTGCAAATAATTCATGGAAAGCCATAGAAAAGCACACTCCCTTTGGGCAAACTGAGTTACTTTCATACAGCCAAGCTAACACATGACTTCTGACTAAAAGGAGAAACATTCAGCAGTTTTGAAAATCATTTTATCAAAAAAAGGAAGCTTAAGCCCAGAGTTTCAGGCTCATAGAGCTGTAAAATCACTTTTTGACCACACATTTTTTCCTTAGTTATAAAAATAAATGTTTAAGAAATGTCACTTACAGAAGATTGTGACATCTCCCAGTCTGTGGTAGAGTCCTTCACTCCACTTTCATCCCTCAAGTACTTTTCAAAAAGTCTTTTGTTGATTGGCTCTTCCATATCAAGAATATCCAGGGCCTGCTGATGTTCTTTTGCAGCATACTAGCCAAAGGGGTGCATGTAAAAGACAAGGTTGGGGTTTGAAATATCTGTACACAAAGCACCAATAACACAGTGTCACATTTCAAAGGCACAGACTGTAACAACCAGTGCCTATCAGCAGTTTTTATGCATGCTAGTTTTTATTTGGACATAAATAATTTCACAATTGCAGCCAACTATTTTACTAGTCCCCTATAATACATAAAAACTTATAAAATTGACACTTAAAATAAATCACATCACCCCTGGTCAGATGCTGACCAAACAATTAAAAATACAAACATGAATTCCTGAGGTAAAAATGGTTCACATTCTTTTCCCACAAAATATTAAAGAAATATTTTGGAGACTTGGAAAAAATGGTCAGTTGAAGCACCTACTGTGGTACTGTTCTGAAGAAATCCAACAACCATACTGAAGGCTAAAGAATGAAATCAACCATCACCAAATTTAAAGCTGTTATTCCCATGAACATAGGCACCTAGGCTGCCTGTCAGTCACCCACCTCCCCAAAATGCCACTTCTGTTCAGTGCAGTTTGCTTCCAAGAGCAGCTAAAACCTGTACTCACGTGACATCGAGCTGCCAGGTAGCGACACGCTTCGTATAACTGAAAGAGAAGATCCATGTGTTGGTTGCAAAGAGAGAGCTGCCTACACACTGCTAAACTCCACACTCCCCTTCTGCAGCTCTATGGCTTCTTCAGCCCTTCCACCCCCAAAAATCTCTCCTGTCCCAAACGACTGAGTCTGTAACACTTTCTCTGCTATTAAACTCTCAAAGGACACTTGCTCCACTCTTGCCTTCACTGCTCAGCAGCAGAGTGGGAGGACAATTTAAACTCCCCCTGAAGTGACACTCCACCTTCCCACGGCCTTGGACCCCTCCTCCATTCTGTGACCCTGTCCGGGGGTAACAGGGCTGTAACTGGTTCAGATACACTACACCATGCAGGCTTTATAAATTACTTTTCCCATGAACCTCACCCCTCTGATGGAGAAGTCGCTGTGGTTAGCAGCAGAGGTTTGGAAGTGGAATTAGAGTAGCAAGTCTCTGACTAAAATGAGTTACCTTATCCAGCTTGCGTGACCGTAGGGCATGTGCTGCCCTATGATACTGAGCTGTTAGGTACAGACATTGGGCCAACCAGTAGATATCTTGTGGCTCCTCTAAAATAAAAGAACAAATTACAAACCAGTAATTTATAATATACATTTAAACGCTTTCATACTGAATATTCTCTTTTGCTTCTCTAGAAAAGTATTTTTCCTCTATTCCAGTGTCCTATTGAGTTATAAAGTTGATTTTGTTTTTTTTCTTTTACCCATATATTAAAAAAATTCATTATACCTAGCAGTGAGAGAATAAAATGAAAAAGTAATCATATTTTAATTTTAAAGAGATCAGATAATGCACTGTGCAGTGAATACAAAGTATCTCATACTAGAGGTGTGTGAGGAGAGGAGACAACAGTGCTACAGATGTAAAAAAGTAGCAGTTTTAAGTTACCCTGCCCTTGGATGTAGGGCAGAAAAAAGCAACCCAGAACTGTCTCAAAAAAGAGCAGTGGGAACCTAACCACAGTGAAAGGGGAAGCACGAGACCCCTGACTGCAGCAGCACAGCTTTAGTGCTCTCCTAAACTGTTGGCAGCCAAAGCTCTTCTGGGACTGAGGCCCTGGAAAAATCTTAAGGAGTGTAACTGGCCTGTGGCTGTTGGCAGAGACACGCTGCCTGCACCAACTCACTCCCTAAACCCACCCAGAGCAACACTGAACCTGCAGCAAACCACTGCTGTCTCTTGCAGCAGTTTGGGGGATTTTTTTTTGTTTGTTTCTTAAGGTAGGCAAACCTTAAGGTTTGCTCAAACATTGATTTTAACACAAAGTTCAAAAGGGAAGGAAGATCTGCCCTGCTCTGCTTGGCAAAATGGCACTCCAAAGGTGAGGGAAAAGGACTTACTAAACCCAAAACTTCATCATTTAGCCAAACAGGTTTAAAAACATAACAAACCCAGAACACTATCAGAACTTAATAAAAAATCATGTAAAAAGCAGCTACTTACCATGAGACAGTGAAGCTACTTTGTCTGCCCAAAACAGGGCACTTTGATACTGCTGCTGTAAAAGCATCATAAAAATAATTAGTATTTATTTGGGGTTAGCTTTCCTGTATTATTTTGAAATACGCTGTACAACATTCACCTTTAATACCTTATGTGTGTGGTTCTAACTAAAGGCAGCTCACATCTGTGGTCTTTGTTCAAAAAACAGTTTAAAAAGGGACAGTACTGGCACTTCTGAAGAACACTAAAAAGACAACTTGAGGTGTGGTTGTTTATTTTCAATAAAATGCAGCTCCCTCTGACAAAAGGTGTGTGCAATGTACATGGGGCAACAGGTCATTAGTGGATTTGCTAACACTGAAAAAGTAGCAAGAACACCCTCCTTCCACTTAAAATAAATGCTACATGACTCAAGAAAAGATTTTATATATATATATATATTAAAAAGGACATAGATTACTGTAGGAAATTTCAGCAGTGCCCTCTCTGATTAAGAAATGTTCATTCTCCAGTCAAGATGCTTTAACCTCACACAAACCACAGTGCCCCTGTGGAGCTCCCCTTACTCTTGCACAGTTTCACTGTGAGGTCTGCAGTTCAGCAGAAACGTGATAGAGAAGGCTGATGGCAACTAGAGATGGGATGGAAGCAGAGTCTGCAGGTATATCCTGCTAACTTGGCTAAGGATGCCATCAGAAGGCATGCCAACTGATAGAATTGGCCGGGACTGTTCTCCAAGAAGATCAGCACAGGGTACTGCTGTTCCTTTTCCTCCTTCTCCATGCTTCCCAGGATCTGCTGGATGTGTAAGACATATCCTGCAAGGACCTGCAACCCTGGAAAAGCCTCCAGTCACTTCTGCTCGTTCCTGCAATGTTACAGTTGTGGAATTTGCCTACAATCTTAGAGAGTGTTTTATACTACTGTTGCAGTAGAGGTTTGTCAGACTTCTCCAAAACACACATCAATGTTCCCCGTGTTCTCACAAAGCACTACGCTCCATGGCCTAAGCAGTCTCACCTACCCTGTGTTCCCACATGCCCCACTTCATGGGGATTAAGAATACCCAACAAATTTGTCAAGAGAATAGTTTGGTTTCAATCTGTGCTCACAGAAAAACAAAACAAAAACCAAACAAAAAAGCCCAACCAACCAACCCCCCTCAAAAATCAACTCCCAATCCCATGTATATAATAGCTGTCTGCAAGAACTGAGATTCAAAACCCTATCAACACCACAAAAGAAAGGCACAGTCCATGCCCACAGGGCACTATGACTTTTGCTGGGCAATTCCAGAGTACCATAAGCTGAGATATTACACAGGGAAGCAGTCCCATGTCCCTTCTGATGACCCTGTCTCAAAACTGCACAAGTGTCTGTACAGCTGCAGGGCAAAGCAGTTTGGTGAACCAGTTTCACTCAGATGAATACAGCAAAATGAAGCAATAAAATCCACCAGATTAACTTAGTTCCCCAAGGAATCCTTCAGTCAAACTTGGTGGCCACACACACAAATGTTCATGCTAACTACAGAGATGGGTTTCTCTCAAGAATGATGCCAGTGTAGTGTCTGAACTGGAGATAAAGCACTGCAGTTTTGTGCTAGACTTAAATCTAACTTGGTAACACACTTTTCCTGTTTGCTGTTAGGGGTTTTTTTTGCATTTTTTTTTTTCTTTTTGTCCTGCAGCAACATAATTGCTGAATCCATCAAGAAATGAAACCAAGCCTGCCCGTCTAACAGCAGCCTGCAGCGTGGGACGTTGGCATGACAGCCACCCGTAGCCCCCAGGTGAGCACGGCCCAGCCCGCACAGCCCGTGAGGGAGGTGTCCTGCAGACTCGCCTTCACCCCCCCAGCTTCCCTCCTCCTCCTCCTC